TGGGAAATTCAAAGTGTCCTGCTGTGTTATGATCAGGCACATTACTGTAGCATATCCCTTTACTAATTTTTCTTACATGTTAAAGGGAAGGCAACATTTTTGAGAGAACATTTTATTTACAAGACTATTTAAAGTGCTGTACATGAATAGAACATAAATAAAAAAGTAAATCACAATGCCATAACAAAGACAAGTAAAGAAGTCAAAAGACTAATGTTGCATCAATGTTGAATGATTACCCCATATGCCCCATTTACACTACCCCTCTGAAACCAATCCGTACCGCGTTCGGACCAAGCTTGGATCAGTTACTGGAACCGTGCCGACCTTGGCAGCTTATGACCATTTACACATCATGCTGACACGGCTCCCTGCCTCCTATCGGCGGTCCACGACAGTAGAGCTCTTAAGGCGGGAATTACTCAAACAAAAATGGCGCCCCCATAACATTCAGTAACGTATCTGCCTCCTCCGACCAAATTAATCAAAAAGCCGGATACGGTGGAAAACCCGCAAAATGAGTCAGATGACTGTAAATAGGAGATGACATGGTCTGCTCATGCGCTCTTTGTTATCAGAGAACCGAGCCAGAACTGAACCGGTTCCAAGCCCTACTGTTGAACTAGTACTAGATTTAGCACGGTTCGGTTGTGTCTGGCATGGTTTAGTTCAGTTGCGTTCCATTTACACTCAACAGTTATCTCAGTTACAGTGCTCGGGCTGTTCTCGGCACGGTTTCAAAAGGGTAGTGTAAATGGGGATATAGTGGTCATATAATTATTTGGTAAAATATAGTATGTTGTAAACCGGGTTCTGTCAGTTTATGAATCCACAGGTGAGTAAAAGGCTTAGACAAACAGAAGCTATACATGTTTATCTGTGAAGTGTAGTTCTTTTTTTAACAAATTAATAAGAGTTCATCTGAACTAACACTATATCATAAACTAAGAACTTATTGCAAGGCTCGAACTCAGTGCCTTACATTATATTAAAAAAAATAATGTTTGAAATACATAAAAGAGGATATTCATCCAATTAATAAAATAGTTAAAGTAGTTGTATTTTTTGTAACACTTGTGAGTAACACTAGCCATCCGCCTAAACCACCTCCTTCATTTGGGAGGTCAATTACTACCTTAAAAAAAAAAAAAAAAAAACATCTATAACCTGATTGCCAGCCACTAGTAGAAATTTTTGTTTAGCTAAAGCCAACATTTGAATTGGCATTTTTCATTAAGGCATTAGATGTTTCTTGGATAATTTTGGTTAAACAGCATCACAAAAAAAAACAATGAGCTGGTGTCCGTCACCCTATGAGAGGTCCAGGACAAAGTTGGGAAGAAGATTAGAGATGAAAAATATGGCACTACTGAAAATGTATTAGGACATTACTCTCCATCCATATTGACAAGCTGAGCAACAATACCTTTCTTTACAGAGTCCACCAAAAGGACCATGAGACCTGTAAACCACCTTCAGAAATCTAAAGGTAAGGTAGGAGTATCTGTTAAGCTTTTTTTCATGTGCTTCACAAAACTCATTTTGATTGAAGAGGACCAAGATCGAAACCACCGATAACAGAGGAGGGAAAAAATATGTTCAGATTAGTTCAACAATAAACACCTTGACCTTGTAAAACAGAATGTGTATCAAAAAACTAACATCATCCTAGCCTTAAACAGTTTCACTTTAAAAACAGGTTTTGGGAGCATGATGATTTTTTGTGATACCGTTAAATGGAAAACTTAGAAGTCTACATCTCTAACATATTTTAATCAAAATTCAGAACTAAGACTCGATGCTGGATCTACCAAATGCTCTATACAGTATGTGCCCATCTGAGCCTGCACACTTTGTAGGGGTAAAAGGCTCTTAGATATATTCATTCCAAAAGACTTGTATCTGTAACTGCAACATATTAGAAAATATTGACCACTTTAATCTGTGTAGGAAAAAAGAAATATCTTAGATGTCCCTGCATCCTTTTGTGACCATATGATTTCAATTTGACGATGTTAACATTGAGAAATGTTTGGTTTTTCATATGCTATTGTGTCTGACTGAGAGGAATTGATTGTAAAATTGTAATTTACAACAGCACCATGTAAGCTGTCAGAAATCTTCAGCAAAACAGGGCCACTAGTCTTGTTCTGTATTGTATGAAAATCGAGACGGTGGAAACAGATGTTTTTTTTTTTCTCTCTACTTGCAGTGCTGCGTAGAGATCTTCTGCAAAGCAAGCAGAACATTTCTAAGAAACTAATCATCACCTGTGCATGAGTTTCTCTCACCTCCCTCTGCCCGCCTCCTGTTTCCTGCTGGAACAAGCTAAGTAAAGTTTTGCGATAGATTTCATATAACACAGCTCACATGCACTGATATAGCCTTGAGGGGGGTACACAGGGGAAAGAGAAAAAGGTTTTTTGAGAAAACATACCTCTACCCAACACACCAGGTGCATTTAAAATAAGATAGTGTGGAAATATGCTGGAGTGAGCAGATATCATTCTTTTCATTAGCAGATATATATCAATAATATTTGCACTCTTATAGAATATGCAAACATAAACGCTAAGAGTCAATCTTAAATTACTCAGGGCACTGAAACGGGGACATCTGGTGGCCTTTTATACGGACTGCAGTCCAACGCTATCAGGCTGCAAAGAAACATTCTTTGACCATGAAAGGGGAAAGAGCATCACAGCATCTTAAGGGGGCCTTCCTAAGAGACTTGTTTTCTCCAGTCATTGGCTCTGCTAGTTTGTATAAGCAATCCTTTGACAGCAAAGCTGAATAAACAGCGGCAGGAAACAGAAGCTGCCGTGCAGGTGGGGAGGTATGGAGAGACAGCAGGCCTGCATCATGACTCCCTGCCCCAGTATAAAAATGAGCAAACAGGAAGGATTGCTGAATAGCACACTCAGTCCTGCTTGATAAAGGCTTGAAGAACAATGCTGCCTGATGCCTTATGCTTATTTATACCTCTTATTCTATCTTCATCACTAAGCTTGTCAGATTTACACAGTTTAAAGAAAAAAAAGCAGTTTTTCTCTGACATACCTTCATTTATACAGGGAAACCAAGATTATTGATTGTTATTAATTTTAAGTAAACAAAAAAAAGGACATATAGACCTAAATTGTTGTATGTGAGTAAATTAAATGGTGGCACATGCGTTTTGCAATCACAGGATGTTAATTACTTATTTCATGTTGGAATCCCACACATCTATAAATTGTTTGTTACGATATATTTTTACATTAACAATAAGATATTTTTCAATAGACCAAAAGGCGTGGAAGCTCAAAGTACACATGGATGTTTTGTAACAATCAAAACCTTGTGTATGGCTTACAAACTGTTCTGTAGCTCAACATTACTTTGATGATTAAATGTTGATTCACTATAGAACCCAAGCCTTTTTCACCATCACAATGGTAAAGAAGCTAGTATGAGTTCCAGTGCAACACTGACATTAAAGCAACAGGTTTTCCACTGAAACAACAAGACAAAGATGGGAGTATATTGTACGCTAAAGTTTTATGTATAAAGCCAGATATTGTCTGACACAAAATGATATTCATAGATGAAACGTATCACTAACTAAATGTTGTGGTATTTTATTGAACTGAAAAAAAGCAGTGTCAAAAAAATTATTACGTTAATTAAGTTTCAGACTTGCGAAATGTATCAGAAAATGACTTTTTGTTAAAAACAAAAAGGTCAAGTGTTCAAAAAACAGCTAAATTACAAGTTCAGTGCTGTTTTTAGAGATTTATCGAGTAAAAAAAAATTTTATCTCTTATTTTACAAAATATATATTAGTGAGTCCAACCTGTCGATTGGTTTTTCAATAATATAGTCAGACTTTTTGAAAACAAAGCATTTTACCCCCCGCCAGCTGCTTTTTCTCCTGAGAGCTGTTATGTGTAACTGTGGCCACGAGGTCAACCTGCAGACCTTCCTAAAGGACAAGGCCCGCCCTACAACCATTCACTGGCCTCACTGAATATCCTGTGTTCACTGCTATGACAACCTCCCGGGCAGTATCCAGTGTGTGCTGTAAGAAACTATAATAAAAATTTAAAGCAGGCAGCACAGGTCAGTTACCGACTGACTGATTAGTAGTTAATTTCTGTAGGCATGAAAGGTAATATACAGGTTGTAGTTCTTTGTATGATAGTTTGATAAGTTTATCATTTGAGATTAGCTGAGTAACTTTTTCTTTTTGGATTAGAATTTTCTGAAAATGAACTCAGGGTATTATATTAAAAAAAAAAAAAAAAAAAAAGATTACTGACCTGGTGGTTGGCATGACTGTATTACTTCCAGATTCCTCTTCACTCGTTCTACTCCCAAACAATGCTGTGGGTTATATAAAAAGAACAAATGAAACCAAGTAAAAAAAAATGTGAAATTTGCAGAAATGAAAAAATCATTAACGATAACAATAATGATAAATATATGTAAAAAGTGTACATATAGGTTTTTTTTTTCAAATTCAAAACATACTGAGCTATTAATGTAATGAGAGATATTAATGTAACTGAAACAGAACTGTGTTAAGTAACAAGATTTTTGTAAAAAAAAAATAAAAATTGATAAATAAATAAAAAGAGGCTAAATCATAGAACATATAAGTTCTCACGCAAAAAAAAAGAAAAAAAGAAAACAAAACACCCTGGATGGAAGGGAACAGTGAAGACTAGGACTATTTCTTTGCTAAAGAAGATTCCATTAATAACATTTGGAGCGTGACCCAAATCAAATGATTGTTGTCCATGACTGGTGACCAGCTGGTGGCAAACAACAATTCATTCTTTCTCAGATCAGTGAACACACCATACTAAGCATTAATAACTTGTGCTGACAACGTCACAACATGGATATAAAGCAGACTCAATGATAGTTATTTTTAGCATGGGCGGTGTGTTTAAAACAAATGCGGCGAAAGCAGGAAGATGTTGGAAGACATACTGAGACATGACTGCATTTTATCCGGCCAGAAAAAAGCAAAATAGACACGTTTTTGTTTTTTTTTGAGTTATCAACCACTGTCTGTCAAAAAAAAACAAAAAAACGATAATTCGTATTAAGTTGGATGCCTTTCTTACAGTAAGTGCTTGCTTTAGATGAGTGCTTACTTTAAAAAATTCCTTATCAAAAAAGGAAAGCTTTAATAAAGAAAATATATTTTTTGCAGGGAGTTGCTTTTTTTTTCAAATATTGATTTAGGAAAGCAGAAAATCCATTTTTGGAAAGGGAGAGGCTCTACAAAGACACCAGGTTGGAAACCAGACATAAAAAGGCAGTATGTTCATACCTAATCTCCTGTGGTAGATAGTTACAAGTTTAATACCAATGGAAATAAATTTAAGGGAGTTTCTATAATATGAACAACGTGACCAAGCAAGCGGTTTACATGTCATACCTACTGTAAGGGGTCGGGCTTTCAGGAGCAAATAAATCGGAAGCAACCAGAAAAAATAAATATAGATACAGCTTAGAATAGCTCATGATCTCAGATAAGTAACATCCCCTAAAAATGTGGAGTCATTGTGAAAACATGGCTGCCAGCAACAGCAGCTTAGTTAGTACATATTGATGATATGACAGAAACCAAAGGCACCCTGGTGTGTGCATAGTGATTTACTGTCAGCCTGGATTCCAACATGTGCAGCAAATGTCACTGGGCAGTGCTTCATATTACTTGGATAATAACCCTAGACAAACCGTAAACTGTAAAACCAAACTGGGGATAAAGTGAACGGACAAGGGTAGCTACAATTTAAATAGCATGTTTGGAGTTTTATAAAGCTACATTTCATTTGCAATGTTAAAAATCAAAAAGGCCTAAAAAGAGAATAATCCTTCCTTCTATCATATGTGGATTATTCTTAACATTAGAATACTCCTCAACTGAAAATGAGAATATTTCTCCTTAGGTTACATTTCCTTTGGAATTTCTTTTAATAATGATGCATTGTATGTAAAATCTCAGACTCCAAGGTTTCAGAGGGAAATCAATTAGATTTAAGAAATCTCTTAGTCAAGTACCCACCGGACCGAAGCAGACGTTAACAGAGCATTCGAGATCCCACGTTGTGGATGTCACCTCTTGTAGCTGATCCAAGGAGAAGCTGAGACGAGCACTGTTGTGACAGGAGTCTACAGAGCAGGCCTCTAGAATGAAAGGGAGCTCTCTCCTTACAGAGCAGGAGGCCTTGGAGCACATGATGCAGCTATTCACCTTGAGGGTCAATTTTATATCCCCTATAGCATGTCCAGATATCTGCAAGGAAAAGAAAGGATGTTAAGTAAACTGAAAGGGGGAAAAATCACTCATATGGGCAAAAGAGGACTACAGTATTTTATACTGCTAGCAGCAACGTTGTCTACTCTCTGAAAAATGATTAGTAGATTAATAAAACCATTCTTTGTCATATTGAGTTAATATAATTCTGTATCTGGGCTGTTTCCTTTTTTTGTCTTAAATGTGCCGTTTTTAACAACTACACCATGTTGTTGTTTTCTGAGTTTGGAATATTTTTTTTTTCTTTTTAGTATAATCTTTTAGATTTTGATTTTCTGTTTTTTTCATAGCTTTTCTAGTCCAGTGTATACCTGTATGTGTTCAGTTAACCAATTGTTTGCCACTGACACACCTGAATTTCCTCACTTTGAAACAACAAAACTTATTTCTACTTTTAAAAAGTCACCTTACCAACAGAACATTAACCACCATCTATCATCATGATCCATTTTATCTGCTTCCATTAAAAGCATAGCAATGTGGTGTTAAACTATTTGTTGCATTTCTACTGAACTGCTTTTAATTTGCTGACGCAAAACCTTTCTAAGTTGGACACGAATAAATTAGTTTATCTCACTTCTTCAGTTGTATAAAGAGGTTAATATCCAAAGAAGTGGTGCTGATTACACATCTCGCCTAGTCTTCATAATACAGTTCTATATGGAACATTTTATTGATGACTACTGGAGAAACGATCAGTGAAACATCCATCATAGCACATGATATCTAATTACTAATGGTACAACCAATAATTTGCTGTCAAAAGAGATCTGTTCATTTTTTCTAAAACCAACTTTTTAGAAGCATTTTTCCTTAACTATTGTGGGGATATAATGAAGACAATTTAGATAATTTGATCAATAACTAAGGTTCGGAAGGAAGCCTATCATAACTTGCATCTAAAGTCTAAATTATGAATGCAAATATGATTACTTTTTTTTTAGCTAAAGTTGTATGAAGTGATATAAATTACATTAAATATCATTATTTAAGAACTGGATATTGGATACTGGATACAGATGGATGTCCAATACTATTTTAATTATCTTGAGAATTTAGATGGAAATACTTAAAAAAAAAATAAAACTCTTATTTTACTCCTTTAAGAAGGGATATCAACAAGACCTGGTTTCTTTTATTCAAGGAATGTTTTTATATCCCTCAATATTTAAGCTATGTTTACTCTTTTTGGCTAAAATCTCTTAGGAGAGACAATTTTTTGGAATTATTTAACAGAAGGATGTTGGGAGGTTTCTTGTGTGTTAAGACTTTTAAGAGTCCCTAAAGAGCATTTCAGTGAGATCAGGGGCCTCTAGCGTGTCTTTGCACAAAAAAACCTGCACTTGGAATGTATAAGAATGAGCTCTGTGTGAAAATGTGAGGTGATCCATACCTGCTGTGAAAATTTGAAGCAGCCTTACAAACTTTTTAAGTCCACAATTAAAAGCTTTACATGCCCACTGGAGAAGGGATGCAGTTTTGCTCATAAAACAGCTGCTAAGCTGCTACTTGATGAAACTCAAACCTTCCAAAATGGACATGGACAGAGATTTGCAGATCTGGCACAATCCGGGACAGAACAAACAAATATTTCTTTTTATGAGATTGATCAGTTCATGTGTTTACTGATGAGTAAAGACAAAGCTAACTGGATGGATTGCATGTTACACTGTGCAACAGTAATATGTTTTGAGCTGTTGTTGAAGCTTGAGAACTGGTGCCTATCTCCAGGGCCTATCTCCAGTTGTTTAAGGGTGAGAGGTGGGATACACCCTGGACAGGTCGCCAGTAGGTAAAGAATCATTTAACTAAAGGTTACTGGTTCCTGATTAAGCAAATCATTTAATAAAACATTATTTGGCCAAATTATTTTGTATTCACCTCATGGATTTGCATTGTGAATTGGTTTGAAAACATTCCAATTTCTCTAGATGAGTGAAAAGCAAATTTGATCACATCCCAAATTCTTCCAGATTAACTTTGGTTTTTCAAACACAAAATCCATCTTAAACTGTAATATGGTTTTTAACCATTTTTCCCCTTCCTCTTTGTACATAGTAGTTTAGTTTAGTTTAACTAGTTTAGAGTTTTTAACTGAAATATGTTTGACTTGGAGCTGAACAATTTTTGTCAATAAACTCTTATATTTTGAAAGGAAGGTGTCATGAATGTATTCCATGTATGTGCATAATTACCTGTTTGACCAAGTTTTGAGTTTGAATCACTCTTTCATTTATTTTTTTAACACACAGCTAGTAGGGCATGTCTTCCTAGACAATATATGACAGCCCCAAAAATATCAGATCAAATAAGATATTTACCACCCCTACGGGGTTGGGCAATAAACATCTTAAACTATCAGAACATTATTCAATAATAATCCAATGTTCAGCTGGCTGGGCATTGAATATAACAGAGTAAAAAAGTATCTAGGTAAAGGCAACTTAAGTACTTAATAACTTAGTAATTATTAAATCTATTATTTTAGATTTAGGTTTCACACATCCATCCGTCCATCCATCCATTTACTGTCACACTTAATCAATAAAATGTTCTGCTAAACATCTTGGTTGGAGCCTCGTTTGACAGGTACCTGTGAGTATTCCTGGTGTTTTAATTGATACAGGCAATTAAGATAGAAAATGGTGTATGATATGAGTGAGTAAATGTAGCTTTTTAAGAAATGCAAAAAAATATGTATAAATGCAATCCTACCTCTGCATAAATCCTCTTGTTAGTTGGCAATCTGGTTTCAGGGTCTAAGGGTAAGCGATAGTCTGGGGAGGTATACAGTTCCATCGTCAGAGGCATCTTGTTTGTGGAAGCAGTTGTGGCTGGTGTCATCTCTTTTATCATTGGTAATTCAGCTGTAGATGTTTCTAAAAAAAAAATACATTTTTTATAAATAGTGCAACATTCATTTTGTAGCTTTGATCATTTATACTTTCTGCATTCTTTTACAGTTTTTATTTTTTTTTTCATTAATAGTGTGATTACTAAAAGTTATACCTGTCAGATTGTTTTGTTTTCCAATCACCAGAAAAAGGGTCGGAGCATTCAGTTCTATTTCACTGTAGCTTGTGAAGTAACTGGCTTTAAAATATTCCAAAGCCATTCTCTGCACGTTCTCTGCCTTGTCACCACTCAGTGTACCATTATATGAAGCTTTGTATCTCCCTAGGATTTGGGGTAACTGGATGTCGTTGTTAGACTAGAGGAAGAGGAGACAGAATTAAAATAAATCATTTCATACTAGAATACCATCTTACAAATAAATGCTTGTACTTTTCGGCACCTTTTCTATATTCAGTCATTCACGCAAACATTGGCCCTCTGAATACCATCAGTAGGCAATGTGGGTGAAGAGTCTTGCCGAAGGACAATGACTGAGACGGTTTGAACTCCTACGCCATTGTCGCCCTAAGTACTAAATAACGAGGAATTTCAACAAGCACTGAAAAGGCATCTTCTGATGCAAGTGATTTGAATGTTCTGTATTATACGCACTGTAGCTTGTTACAAATAGACAGAAATGTGTCCTAGTGTCAGGCAAGAAAAATTTTATTGTATAGAACATTTGAGTTTTGCGGTTATTCAAAGTGCTTAACGTGGACAGAACATGGACATTTAAAAAAAATTTCACTGTAGTAACATTTTAAACACAGGTACAGAGAAGTTGGACTATAAACTTAAATTAATGAGGATCCAGAAAACAATCTAAAAAGAACAAACAAAGAAAACTCTAAAGAAACTGGATTTTTTAACCAAATTCAAAATAACTCAGGGTTTCAGTGCATTAACTAATTTCTGGGAGTCAGTTCCAGATAAAAGCAGTATAAGAACCGCATGCTGTACCTGTTTGGTAATTTAAAGTAAAAAAATTATATATTGACAACATGTCTTTAATGCTTTTTAGTGCCAAGCAATTCTGTAATTTATAAACTACCTAAAGTATTTAAGTTACAACCTCTATTTGCTCTATTTTCTGTTTTTTCTTATGAATATGGGCAGCAGCACTCTGGATTAACTACAGCTGTCTGATCACATTTTCAGTAGACCTGCAAAGACACCGTTGCAGTTATCAGTTTTCAAGATGAACACTATAATAACTTTATCAAGATCCCATAGGGAAGTTAGTCCTGGAACGCTGACTTTGTTACTGTCTTCATTTTCCTTCTGAAGGTTCAGGCCTTAGTCAATCCCTACATTTACATTTGATGCCTAATCATTGGATTCTAGCTGTAAACACTAAAGTTGAGGATCCACCTTTGATAGTACCTACTTTGCCTCAAAAATATTTACCACAAATGTGTTTATATTCTTAGATCTTTTTAGATATTCTTTCTATTCTTAGTCTTTTATTCTTAGGGTCTATAATGGCACATCCATGATTTCACACCTACCCAATGCTTAAATAGTTTTAGCCAGTTTTTTGCCTTTTTTTGGCTTTAAGTAGTTGCCAAATTGTAATTTTTAAACTTTCTTTTCAATCAATAAATAAATACAACTGTTGCGATATTACACATTTATAATAGGGACTGTTTTAGCAGTTTGATTGTGCTCTGAAAAGGTTGCAAGTACCCGGTCCACTCCCAAAAGCCTCCACTCTGGGCTCCTGAGCATCACCCTTAACCCCACACTGCTCCCTGGGCCCCACACAATGACAGCCCACCACTCCCCAAGGGGATGGGTCAAATGAAGAGGTAAATTTCCCCACTGAGGGACAACAAAAGGGATTAACATTTTTACATAATGGCAATTGATAACATACACCATTAGAGATGAGTTCTAATAGAAACAAGAGTTTGCCAAAGGTTCCTTGGTCCACATTGAATGTAACTAGCACTGAGGGAATCCACATGTTATCTTGGCTGTGCATGTAATACGAAGGATTTGTTGAACATTTGCAGCAATGAGCCTCAAGGGGTTAAGATTGTGGATAAAATATTAAAAGAGCAGGAGGAGGAGCCTAGTTGAAGTATAATGTTTTCTAAAACTGAAATTCCATCACCCATCTATGCTGATCGTATCTAAAGTAATAAAAAGTAACATGGAAACTTACACCAATCTTCCAAGAATCTTCCCTGAGGAATGTCCATGTCGTGCCCTTAGGGCCTCTCAGGAACAAAGAAAGCCCTTGTGTTTTAACAAGCAAGGATACATTGCTGCCAAACCGAAAAAGTAGTATTATAAAAACCTTTGCCAAGAAACAATGAATGTAAAAATGATCTTCCTTGAAAATATCACGGTTACCGAACAGCAGATTCCTCTTTGATGTTTATGACGTGAATCTCATCATGACCAAGGCTTTGTGGCTCTGGGGTGCAAGATTTGTGCCAATTTGTTTTAATCTCAAGGAAATTCTTTCTTGTGATATCTTCATTTTCAAGTACACAGTTTGAAGAACCTGGTTTGGTTCCTATAAAACAAAAAAAGGAAAATCCAAGTTAATCAGTTATCATTGAAGAAAATGACGTCCTATTAAATGTTATACAGTAGCTCATTGGTTGTAATGAGCAAGTCAGTGTTACGCTAAAGCAGTACCAGCAAAGATTCTAAAGTTATAAGTTTGATTCAGGTGACAGTATCTTAGATTGATTTAGCATTGTGCTGTAAGTGAGACTGATGCTCAGAGAGGAGGTTTTCAGACTAAGTTCCTCAATTGATTTGTGTCTTTCTGAACTAGAGAAGGATAGAAATTAAGGGATTAAGCTCATTTCCCTTTAGATAGTACCACGAGAATAAAAAAGAGCACTCATCACATTCAGCAAAGACAAAGCTTGTCTTTGGATCAGACTGCCTTAAGATGGATTTGTTCTTAAATATGTTTGCACACTGATACCCCTGATGGCAAGAACTTGTCACAATGTCCTTAATCTATACATTTTACGTGTCTATTAGTGGCCAGTTTTTTTATCACCTTAACTTTCAAAATGCTACTGTTAAAGAATAACATATTTCCTTACTTTGTGTCTCTGCTCTTATTATACAGAACTAGTTTGGACATTTTTGAAATGTCTGGTTCTTGAAAAATAATTATTTGTACTGAATAACTTTTTTATGTTTAATATTAGAATACATCTTCCCATGGTAAAAAAAGAAAAAAGACAAGAGTATGATGAGAAATTCCATCAGCCATTAAAGGCAAGGTAAGCCGTAACCAATCAACAGTCCATTACAGGAAAACACAAAGAAAGACCGTCAAGTTTATTTGCTAATCAATGCCAGTCCAACTTGGAAAGACCCAGGAAGAAAGCAGACATAGGCTCAACTCAGTTAATCTTTTTTTATCATTTATATGAGTGAAAACCCTAAAACCAGGAAAATACAAACAAATTGTGAATTATTGGAATACACTTTTTGATCCTTGAGTCTTAGTACTGTAAATAAAGGTAAGCATTGTAAAGCATGCAACTATATTATAATTTGCCAAATATAATTGACTAATTAACAGTATTTTTACTATTAATGCGTTCATGTAATTATTCAAATGTCAATAATTAAACCAACTATCATAATATAAATCATATCTAGCCATCTAAAGGTACTTTTCCAATCCTGTACTAAGGACTAAAAGTTACCCATACCCAGGATTCAAGAAATGAAACTAACTAGATGTTTAATTTAAAATGCCCTTAAAACAAAAAGCTTTTTTAAGATCTGAAACTCAGAATGGATCAAATAAAATGTTTCTCAAAATAGTCTTAGACAAAAATGTCCAATGTAACACAACAATAGAAATCAACCAACTAAACATGATGACACAAACGCATGAGGCCTGTATTCTCAAAGAAAATAATTTCTGGTCTATTTAATTTTTTTGACACACTTCTATAGTGGCCTTTGGATGACCCTTCAGGGCCACCGTGCACTTCAACTTAATCTAATGTGCTGTTTTACCCAACAAAGCCATGCTTCTGCGTGCGTAATGAACATTTCTGCGGCTCTATTTTACCTAATTAAAACCATACTGCTCACCAGTGTGTATCCGCTCTCTTATGGCATTGATTGATTAACAGTTAACACCTGTCTAACCTTATCAAGTCCTAAGTGGAAGCTTCAGAATACAAGAGTGTGACCAATAACTAGAGCCCCCTTTTGTGTAAACTGAAAACTATTCATATAAAACAAAGGTAAACAAAAGGTCTATGTTAAAAAAGAGAGAGGTGCAGCGGAAAGGCTGAAACTGTTTTTGGACTCAACGAAGACAGAGTAAACACACTCCCCGAGAGAAATTTAGAGAAGCCAGTAAACTAAACTTAAATGTTTTCTCTACTATAGGAGGAGGCTAATGTATGTGGAGATCACCCACACACGAAATCACATCTCAGAGCAGAAACTCTACAGAATTTTTTTTTTGTGGAATTTTATCCCACATTCTCCTCATGACAATTAAAAATGTCAGAACTAAATCGGCACTGAGAATAAGATTTGGTGTTGGAAAAGAATTCTTAGGATTCCTAAATTAGGTACTTATGTTCTCCAAGAGGGAGAGAAAATATGAGGTCAACGGTTGTTTAAGGTGGTATAAAAGCTACCTTAAAAATTTCCCCTGAGATGCTGGGGACTCACTTCATTGTTATAATGATGCGGTTGACATGCAGCAAGCACTGGGGTTACTTCTGTGAGGTGGGAGACCAGGGTGGTGGAGTCAGATTTTATTTTTATAGTTTGTTAAAGCTCTTCTGTGTGGTTCATTAAAGTCCTATGTCCATATAGCCTATGTATGCATTTGAAAATATTTGGACAAGTGTGCACAGACAAGAAGTTGTTCAGACCCATACAAAGATAAACAGAATATTTCTTACCTTCTGCTTCTGTCAGTGTGATAAGTGAGGGATTTTGAAGAGTAGTGAATGATGTCACTCCACCAAATCTCTCCTCTGCCCAGGTGATCAGTTTTTCTTTTTTATCAGGGACATCTTCTTCGAAAACATTTGGTTGTGTAACAACCGTTTTGATTTTGGAATTAATTATCTGCGAAGCACAACACAAATACAGAAATTCATTTTCTTCACTTAACTACAGCAAAAAAGATTTTGCTCAGTGTTTTCAAATCATCATGTTCCCCTGTCATTCTTCTCAAATCCTTTATCCTATCCCTCCCAAACCCCTCATCTATTTTTTTAGAGCAGGGACTCTGACTCTGAAAAAAAAAAAAGTTATTATGGTTAAGTGTCCACAAGCCCAGTTGCACAACCTCGTTGGAGCCAAGGTCTTTCCTTTGCTTCCTGAGTGGGGCCAGGAAATGGGACCTTTTTAGCTTTGTGCGTCACCATAGTCGGCAGGAATCTGGCTCCATATGAGGTATAAATATATACATCAATCTCGTTGACTAGACACTGCTGTTTCCTTGTCTCGGCCAATGGGAAATTATGTAGTTTACATGTTGTGGTCCATGGATAAAAGAGCAGAGGAATGCAGAGCGAATAGTTTCTAAAAGGAGCTTATATCTGCTGAGAGCAGCACTGCTTTACTAGTGTTACAAGTGTAGAAGTGCATTAGAAAATCTCTTTCAACTGCATTATACAAATTCAGAGTAGCTTATCTTTTGTTCAAAGCTTTGAAATGCATAATGCATATTAGATCCTGCTTCACAAACTATCAGACTCCTCATACTATTCCACTTATGTTTGGAGAAGGAATTCCACAGGCTGAAATGGATTCTATCTCTTGGATGCAAATTAGGTAATAATTAAAAACAAGTTATAATGTTACAAGTGTTAAAACCACTTGTAATGTTTCTAAATTATCTTGTAAGTAATGATGGAGTGTCTATTCTCTAAATGACTCACAATGACTGTGGATGTGGGTTTTTGTGGATGTCTTTGCGTCACAAAGCAGAACAAATTGTGTAAGCGGGGTAAGCCAGAGGGAGTCTTACCTCTTTCTACATGAATATTTGATTGACATAGGATTAAAAATAGTATAGAGAGGGACTGCAAACATAAAAAAGAGAGTCATTCACAAGGGGAACAGGCAGATGGAGAAGTCTGAAAAATTGAGAAAAAGGTATAAAGCTTAACGCCATGGAATTTTAATCACATTACTGTCAGTGATATTCTAAAGCTACCAAAAATATTGAAGGGAAAGTCCAAAAAAGCACCAGTCTCTAATGGGGGATGAAACGAATAAATGATTTGTATTTTTTTATTATTAATTAGTCATCAGTGGTGTTGAGTACAGGTCCAGCTTCACATCATAGGCAATATGAATGTCGATCTATTTAAAACTGATAAGTATGAATCATTTTATATTTAATATAAAGAATGAAATAAGAATAAATCTCCTTGACAACCACTGACTTGCTTCCATCAAAAAAAGGTATGACACTCACAGAATTTCAGTAAAATAAAAGCAATGCTAATGCCTTTTTTGTTTACATCCTTCTGTGAACGTGTCAGCCTCGTGAGGCTGAGAGGAACCATGACACTGAGGCCTGCTGTCACGCTACTGACGGATACTTTCTTGGATTCTCAACAGATGTTTATTCTCTTACACTGAAATCTCTGGCAAAGCCCTGTTATCCAAAAGTGATAGAGCTGATCCCACAAAAACATCCTGCCATCACAGTGAATGTTGTCCAGGCTCATGACAGGACATGATACAGGATGTGGTACTACGCTGCTGTCAGCATATCAGTAATTGTTGACATGCCTGGGAGCATGTCATCACACTGATTAGACAGCTGTTATTTCACTTAATATACTCATACTCATAACACAAAAAGGCTTGGAGAGGATGTCTCAGTTTGTAGTTTATTCATTATTTTAAATCACTCTTGTCACAATAAAATTTCTAACTCTGCACAATGCTGTGAAACACTTTCTTTTTTTAAGCACACAAGGATTAACAGCATATGAGGCAAATTCACTGAGACTTCAACTTAAGTAAATTGTTTAGCAGGCAAATGAGAAATAACAGATAACTTTCAAAATGCTGAACAGTGCGGAATAATCTTTTTAGCATTTTAACCATTTTTAGAGGGGTTAATAGTGCTGCCAACATCTACTTTATCTAAATCTGTATTTTTTTTTATTACACTGGGGAAGAATTCATTGTATTTCCTAATTCGTTATTGTTTTGTTATCTTACATAAATTGTTCAGTTTAGCTGAAATTAATATAAAATTTCCATATATCTGAACGTGTTATAAAAATTGGAAGATTTACATAAGGTATACTAATTTGCTTAAATTACTATAAAAAATAACATTACTAGTACTTACCAGATGAAAGCTCACCACTTTACTTGATTTGGATGATAGATATATTGTTTTAAATTCATGTTATCAGTGTATAAAGGTTTAAAAATACCATTTATTGGTACATAAAATTTACAGTGTCAAACCATCATCCCATCTTGTTATTGGCTACTTGTTAGTTTAATAGTGTAGATCAAAAATTTAAGATTTGTCTGAGACCAACAGAAAATAGTAAATAAGAGTTTGTTATATTGAAAAAGCCATGTGTGAAAAATAAAAACACCCCTAAGCACCCTGAACACTAGTAGAAGTGTAAGCAACCTAGTATAGGGATGCTTTTCCTCAGCATGGACAGGGAAGCTGTTCTGACATGATGGATAGAGCTAAACACAGAGCAATTCTGAAACAAAACTTGATAAAAGCTGCAAAAGACTTTGGGAACAGGTTCACCTTACAGCAATGACCCAAAGCATTCAGACAGAGCTACAACAGAAGGGCTTAAATATAAGCCTTAGAGTTGCAGTTATAAAAATCTGTCCAGTCGGACTGAGGTGAAAATATTTAGCAAAAAAAATCAAAAAATCTTTGTAAAATGGACACCATAATTTAGTTTTAACTTGTCACAATTTGTATTGTGTTATTACAGTAAATCCAAATGGAATACCATAAAGATTCTGACTGTTTTACGCTTAAAAGAAAAGAACAATTAATTTGTTGAAAAGGTAGATAAGATTATTATACTGACCAGAGTTTTAACAAACTGGATGAAAAGAAAAATAGGAAACCTTTATAGAAAAATTAAAGGAGGCTACTTACATAAACTTTTACATCTTTGTTGAGTTGAAAAAGGGTAAAAGCCTCGTTTGAAGACGTTACAATAAGAATCAATGGCCTTGAAATATTCACGTTGAGGCCAAACACTGCATGGTCCTGAAAAGACAAAAACAGACATTGGGTCATATCAGTTCTGTTGAGTTTTCATATTAGTAACAGCAATGCAGACATTTACATATAATGTTAAACCTGTCTGAAATAAGTGGTGTTTGAATAAAAGGTCTGGACATAGCACCCTTGACGAGGTAGACCACTGCAACAGGGTTTAAACAATTAAACTATGAAATAATGTACTGGAAATATTTAATCATACCTGGAACCGCTAGAAAAGTTTGATTCAAAACTATACCAGGCTTTGTTGTACCATGGAGTCTACAGTATCTTGCATCGTACAAACAAAACTCAAAAGAATCTCTGAAATTTTTAAAACACTGTCTATTTTTAGTTCTGCACATTTTCATTTTACTTACACAGATTAATATTTCACCACAAAAAGTTGCAAAGTAATGATTAGAAATCTAAAATATCATGATCAGGTTCTATTGGTTTAAATGTAAGTATATTCTGTTTTGTTAGAATTCACCTATTTTGTCGAATACTTTTGTCATCTGTAAACGTCTCCATCTGCGCCTAAATTACCCAACATGATGATGACAGCATCAAGGGGAGATAGTGTGCTTGCTACGTCAAGTTTAAAAATACCCCCCAAATGCAATTCAATTCCGTAAAAGTTTGATTCCCTTTCTTTTCAACTATAGATCAGTGAGGGATTTGACAATCCCTCTTGGTTTTTTGCAGCTAAGCTTTTAAATGTCACCACATGCTTCTCTGTTGAAAAAGCAGTGCCAGTCATTTCAGAAGGGCATGTATTTGGTGGGGGGGATAAAAGCTCTCTTTCCTGTCTACTTTTGCAGACATCAACGAGGTAATACAGCTTTGCCCCGTTAATACACCTCTGTACTGTGCAGAGGGGGGAAATGTAATTATTTTTCACATTGTGCAATGAGCTGTATTTTTTTAATTCATGTAATATGTCGCTGAATCATTGGCACAAAGGGATCATTTGCAGGAATTCCCAGTGTTTTTACTTTAATTTCATAAATTTTAACCAGTCCTCCCATATATGTGTAATCTCATCAAAATTTTGAAGAATATAAAGCCCCTTAACATAATTTACCACATAATGTAATGTCTCATCAGCTATATTTTATCCATTGTAACATAATGGTGATGTGATTTGCTAATCACCGCTACCGTCACTCTATGAATCAGCCTTAATTACTATGCTCCGCATGTGCATGGGGTAGCGTTGGAATAGCTGAGTTTTATGGATGCCAATGGTGCTGAGTGGTGGCAGAACAGTAAATTGAAGTTTAGAGATATATATTTCCAGTCTAACTTAATACAGATAAATCCAAAATTTTATTACTTTTATTTATGTCCAAAAGATAATTGGATTTAAGAAAAGTGGAAAAAATTGGTTTTTATTTCTTTTTTATTCTTCTGCAATCAGTTCAATATAAAATCTTGCAACGACAGCTTGACAAATAAAAGAGTAAGAAGAACAAAACATTGAAAATATCCTTAGGAAAGGGTTTTTCTTTAGGTTACTTTCATGCACTTTTGATAAATATTGATACAAATTTCTCTTTTGGTAAATATGCTTCTATTAAGGACTGCTGCATGTACAATGAGGACACCAAGGACACGGAATTAATCCCTTATATTGAATTTATCCACTCACTACCTGGCATTGCCAGAACAGAGTTGTTGCAAGCGCAAGCTGTGGCTGCACAGATTTTCAGACGCCTGCAGAGAAAATTAGGCCTAGGGAGACCGAAGACAATTTGTCAATGAGCCAGACTCAGATGCATTTTGAAGAAGCTGTTAGCATGCCGAGTGTTAACAGACGGAAGGAGGTGTTATCCTGCATGCATACAGGCCTACACTAACAGTGTCTTGTGCAAAGTGGGATTGGAGTAATGACTGCAACTAATAAATGAGTCCATTTTCTTCTCGAGGGAGAAAAAGGCTGTGCATATGAATGGTCTTAGTCATTTATAAAAGATTTTGTTTACTTTGTCAATTTTCCCCTTCCCCTTTGCAAATATTACACTTCTGGATATGGTACCTCAAAGTCCCAAGAAAATAAGGAATACATTTGAAATAAAATAATGTAAATATTAAAAAATGGATACAGAATTCAGAAAATGTTTTTTTTAATCATTCCACAGTGTTCTTGAATGCTTAGTGCAGCACTGAAGCATTTGTCCGTAAACTATTACTTGTATATATTTTCCATGTGCACACACATACATATATAATATATAACACATGCCATGGGATATAGTGTGAATGTGGCAGAAAGGTAATCATGTTTTGATAAGTCCACCTGCCTCTGTGCAGAGTATTTATTACATATAGCCAGAGATGACAGATTGCCCAAATGAATAACTGAAAAGAAAAACCTGAGTTGTTATTCAAACATGAGACTAAACCTACTTTCATGAGGTGCAACAGCACAGCATCTTCTAAGAAATACCTCTGGGGTTATTTCAGCTGCGTTACATCTACATGCAGTAAATGAATGAATGGCATTTCCTGCTGAGCCACTGCACCTCAAACAGAGACACCTCAGTGGTGTTTTCTTTAAATACTCCTTTCTAATGAGCTTCATTGTTTTACTGCCTAGTCCTGTGACTTTGTTCTTGAACTTTGACCCAGATTACTCACCTTTTGCTACGTTTGTTCCTAAGATTACAGGATGCAATTGTTTTTTCTCTGACTGCTTTCTCTGTTTTTTTTCTTTTTTCTTTTTTTCAAGGGCCTTTGCTGATGCAGTTTCCAGTTATTCTTTTGGCTCTCTCTCCCCTAGGTTGTGTCGGCTCCATTGGTCTAGTCTCGGCCTTATGCCAAGACCCCAAGCCAGTGTGACATCAATGGGCCCAGCACACAAGCAGCCCCTCCCAGAAAATTCTGCTTGCTTGTGCAGCCCCTTGATGCTCCTGCTATAATTCAAAGAATGGTCAAACTGTGATAGTCAAATGCCCTCGGTAGGTTGTAAATCAGTGAGAAAATAAAAGGAAGAGAATGGAGCTGATAAGAAACTTTAAAGGACAAAGAAAGGTTTAGGCAGAGTCACCCTCCCTCCTGGATGGACATTTATACTCCCTTCTTTTCGTCTGAAATATCGAGAAATATCACAGGTGAAAAGATTAGATAAGGGTTTTCTGTAAAAACATCTTCTGACAATCTTACCTGCTTTTCCATTTAAGAAAACATCACTCCTGTGCCAAATCCATCCATCCATCCATCCATCCATCCATCCATCCATCCATCCATCCATCCATCCATCCATCCATCATTTTTTATTGAGACTATATAAATTAATTATGAGGGAATGTTTGTGTTTAACAGAATTAAAACACTAAAATGTTGCTAACTGTTGCCAGTTCCTTGTACAGAAATAGCTGGAATGTCAAAATGCCGATATATAATGCTGTTAAAAAACAAATCTGCCATTTCACAAGCACAGTGGACTGAACCGCAGAAAGGTTATTTACTACAATCAATTAAATACCTATTACTGGTCAGGACAGAATCCCCCAGTGAATACTCAATTTTATCTTTGAAGATGGCTGTGCACAGTTACTGTTCAAAGCGAATTAGGATGAAGGGTTAGATCTAACAATTGATTCTATATCTGATTTGAAATCGAGATTCTGTTTAGTCTTTTGTATGACTAAACTGATATTTATTGTTAAACATATAAAACCTCATCTGCTTTCATTTTCACTCTGCATAAAATGACTGATGGGACAAAATCTTTCCAAATATGTTGAAATCTGTTGTATTATCTGGAGAAACATTTCTATAATTTGGAGCAGAGGTCTGGTACTGCAGGGGGATGGACTCGTGGCGCAAGATTTGCCTCTAAAGAGACTTTTGGTTAATTCTATTATCATTAAGGACAAATGCAAAGATCTGTTTGCAACATGTTGAAACTAAGTTGAGAAATAAACCTTTTAGAGATCCATCTATCATTGCTAACAACAGCAATGTAAAAGGCAATGTTCAGTTAAGCCTGCCCAGCTTTCCAAGAGCAGGGAAATCCTTTTATGTATTTTACAATCAGAATGGATTGATAGGATTGCAGTGCATTGCGCCATCACAGGCAGAATGAAGACATCTGCTTCAATCCACAGGAGAAAACTGAAAAGAAATACTAAAAGGTTGAACTAAAAATACCAAACAGCAGCTAAATAAAGGTTATATAGAAGACCCATATAAAGAATAAACAACTAGCTGATAAAGGAATGAATAATGTGAGCTGACCGACAGCACCAGGCAGTGAAAAATGTGCTCTAGCTGAACAATAACTGCACATAGATTAAAAGTTTTCTGAAGTAAGTTTTCAATGTCATTCCTTTAAAAATTGTTTGAAAATCCAATTGGCTCAGTATACTGTGAATATTACTATTATGTGTATGCGGGTGTGGGGGGTCATTTTGAACACTACCAAATTAATTAACTACCAGTGAAAGAAGCCTGAAAAGAACTGGCATGTTGGGAAAATTCTTATCTTTCTGGAGCGTGGAGTGGGATTTAATGTGTTATTTTTTTATATTTTTTGATCTGGAAATGTAGTTTTCTTGGGCCCATTTTAGTGTAATGATTAATTTATCTAGCATATAGGACTCAAATCCCTGTTTAATGTGTTTTAACATAGGCAATAGTTTTATTGAAATTCAAAGGTTTTTGAATTTACAGCATCGGTCTACAGCTTAGCTGCTACAGCTTTCCTCTAATCTCCTATGTGTGCATTACTAGCATTCACTTTTTTTCCCTCCTGGGCAACATCAAACTGTCAGTGTTGAGTTTATCAGCTTAGCACATCACTTGGCTCAGCTGCTCATTCTGAACTGAAATAATTCTCTGCACATAAAACAGGGAACCAGGTTTGACTGAGAACAAACTAATTCATCAAAAGCTTTTTTTGATTACATCTGAACCATTATAAGATGACAGCCAGCCAAAATGTACAGAATTAGAAAGCTATCCTAAATCTTATCAGAGGTTCTGTATTTGTGAGCCAAGGCTTGCAGGTTAATGCTTTGAACACAAACAATCTTACATTTTCGTTATGTGTCAAATTATTAATGTACACAAAGGGCACAGTTATATATTCTAGTGTGAGAAGCATCAATAAAGAATCGCAAACTTGACATGTTGATATTCATTTCTAAGCAACCCATTTTTTTATTTTTTATTTTTAACAGCTGAGCCACAGTGTTATTGTCTCCATGCCACACTGTTGGATGCAATAATTCATGCAGAAGGAGGTTTGTAAGGACTGAATGCATACTGTGCTGTACATAGACACTGCTTTTCAATATGTCTGGATTTAAAAAATGTTCTATGGGTCCTAAGTGATGCTGTAATCATCTTAAGAATTTTAGGATTTTACTGAAATACTAAAGTTAATAGCATTCAATATATTTCTTTTTATGTGAGATGCTCCTACATACGTGAGTCTTGCATACTACTTTTCTATAAAAAAAAAAAATATA